TGCAGTAAGGTAGAATTATTTCTGTACGGTCCTGATAGTCTTGTACATTGCAGAATATAAGCCATGCAGTCATTAAAGCTGAACTCCAGGCAAAAAGCTATCCACACAGATGAAATACATATAAAGGGGAGCCGTTTTATCAAAGATTTGTATTTTGGCCATCAAGTCCTACAACTTACACTCAGCACATCCAGCCTGGAGACCTGTTTGTCTACTACAGTTGTGTAGTGCAAGTAGGTCTTGTACCAGCTCACAGCCTGTGACAGTGAAGAAGCCACAGACTTGAGTTCATCTCTGTGGCTCTGCTCTCTCCTCCTATCCGGATGCTATTTGCTCTGCAGTACAACAGATTGGCTTGCTTGTGCTGCTTTTCCTCCCTCCAATCTGAGCTCTGCTGTATAGAGGATATCACAAGGCTGATACCAGGTCAAATTCAGGTACTTACAATGCTTGCATTAAAAAATACATGTAATGATGTAATAATGAATTGAGAGCTGCATTAATCTGTGCTTTCTGTAGATCAGCCTGGAGTTTAGCTTGAAAATGAGCAGATAACAGACTTTGTTAGAAGGCATCAACAGAGATATTAAAGGTGGCAGCCCGACTGTAGATATGCAAAACAAGATAATAGCTACTATGGTGCATTTGTGATTCCCAGATCCTTATTAACTTAAAGTGGTTGTAAACACTTACATATAGTGAAGCAACTGGCCTCAGGTGATACACAGATGAAACAAATCCTTACACATAAGTTGTACCTGTTTATCAGCAATTCTCTTCTCTACATCTGTTAAACTTCTAGAATTTATATAGCTTGTCTGAGCTTTCAGAAATCAGGTGGGCAGGGAGCTGAAGGTACACTCTGCAGAGCCCAGGGAGAGCTGACTAGAGGTGAGGGTCACACCCACTTTCACATAGCACATGAGAACAGTACTGAGTCTATCAATCACAGGCTATGCTTGAGGGCCCCTGACCTGTCACCTGTTAACCTCTTCATGTCAGGAAAACTTGTAAGAAGTGACTCAATGCAAGTAGCAGAGGAAGGGGCCAGAGCCAGAAATGACTTAATACTCTGGATTAAGGCACACTATAGAGGGATATGCTTTGTTCATATTTCATGTCTGGGGTTTACAACAACTTTAAAATTGCAAAGTCATCTGACATAAGGTGTAAATTCACAAATATATCTGTCTAGACTTGGATGTAACTGACATAAAGACAAATAGGTAGCATATGTGGCCTGGTCCACGTATAATGTTTATTGATGTCATAAAACAATACAGTTAGTGTTAGATCCAACCACAAACAGCAAACAGGATAAATGGAAAAATAAATTGCACAGTTGGCAACATACAATCACACAGATGGTGAAAGTTTCAACTATGACAACTTCTAAATAAAAAATAAAAGTTCTAAAAAGAAGCCTTAGTAATTGAACTTTACATAAAAAATACACTTTAAGGATGTTAACAGCGAAGAAAGTGCTTCAAATCAAATACCAAGCAGATTAGATGTATTATGCAGTTCTGCTCACAATCCATGTCGATTTATGTTTTGTCAGTCTGAAGTTTAAAGACCACAAGATGGAAGCAGAACATCTAGATTTCACAGGCTTACAAAATGAACATGGATCGTTATACCTACAAGCAGACTTGATCATGAGCCATCATGTGCTCTGTTTTCTCTGCTCTTTTCCTAATGTTATTCACATTCTAGATGTTTGTTTGGGTACAAAATATACTTTTTTTTTTTTTCATTTACACTGCTTAGCCCAAGCTTCTAATCTGCATCCTACTCTAGTTTTTCTGAATGCACAGCAATAGGGAATCTAAAATATTTGACTAGTCTGATATATACTGCATCCATTGAAGGTACCCAAGGGCATCTCCATATACAGACCATTTTGCACACTACTTAGGCGCCTGTGCATGAGATTCCTGCAATTTTGTACGGGTGGAAGGCATGGGTGCGCCATTAATGCCCTGATGCAAGTCTTCATTCTGGGCAATCATCTCCTGGCACATAGTGCCCTAAAGGTTACTACCCCTCGGTGCACCATCCAGCCAGAACAGTTTTTAGTCTCTCTGTTTTACAGGCTGACGAAGGCAGGGCTGGACAGTGCGCCTGTGCCTTTCACCCGCACAAAAATGCCCCGTCTGCACAAGGCCTTTTAGCAATAGTCTCCAACCTTCATTCATAATTGGAGATGTTTAAAGAGGTTCTCCAGCAACATGTTATATAAAATCAACTTATCAAAAAGGGGTTTGGTGATTTCTTCTAATCATTGGCTCAGCAAAGGGAATGTTTTGCAGTCTACTTTTTTTTTATGTTCTCACATAAAAAAAGGTCATGATAACTCCATGTACCATCAATGTTTTAAAGTCCTTGTTAGATCTGGATATATATCTTTTTTTTCTGCCCCTAGGCAGCCGAGAGGTAAGGAGGTGGTAGCTTTAAATAACTGCCAAACTAAATAGGCAACTATTTCTCCTAGATTGTAAGCTCGAAAGAGTAGGGCCCTATAACCCCTCGTGTGCTGTTTGTAGTTGCTGTAATGTTTCATGTATTGTCCCCCCTCTATTGTACAGCGCTGAGCAAACCCTTTGGCGCTATATAAACTCGATGTAATAATGTAATAATTTCATCTCAGTCAGCATTTCACATTTCAGACACAGTCTCAGTCTTTCCACAGCCCTTAGCTTTTCTACGTAGGTTAAAGTAGACCTGAAGGCACACAATGTTTTCATTTTGGTTGCAAAAGGGAGGGTTAAAACCCCTGTCAGTATTATGTGCCCACTGTGTTCCCATTAGGGATGTTTCCCTTTACTTCCTGTCCCATAGACACAACAGGAAGTAAAAAGAAAATCCCTCCAAAGTGAGGTTCATCAGAACTACTATTCCACCTCCTAAATAGACCACAATAAAAATGAAAAAGAGAGGAAGGCGCCCAAGACAAATAGTTAAAAAGACTCATCGTGTCGTGTAATAAGATCCAGGTGAGACGTCCAGCAGCAAACTATCTATAGGATCAGGAAGTAAAGTCTAGGATGTGCCTGTGTATCAGTCTGAAGGAGCCTACTAAGCATGCTCCGAAACACATTACCAGCTCCTACATCCGACTCTGCTCTCCAAGCCTCATTTTGATACACAGGCACATCCTAGGCTTTACTTCCTGATCCTATAGACCAGTGTTTCCGAAACTTTTTTCAGTCAAGGCACCCTTTAAAAAATTATGGGTATTCCTGAGGCACCCTTTAAAATTATGGACAGTCTTGAGGCACCCCATTCTAAAATAGGGTGCCTCAAGACTGTCCATAATGTTAAAAGGGCACCCCATTCTAAAATGTGAGAAAGTATTCTAATAGTTTTTATAATGCAGCAACATCCACACTTGTAGGACACCCAACATTAGAGGTGATTTATTAACTAAAAGGCAAGCCTGTCCACCCACTGGCTTGTATACAAGTTTGGGGCAATTTTCAGACATGTTGCCAAGGTACCCCTGAAGAAACCTTAAGGCACCCTGGTTGAGAAAGGCTGCTATAGACATAGTTTGCTGCTTGACGGCTAAAGGTCTCCCCTGGATCTTAATACACCACACAATGAGTCTTTTTAACTATTTATCTTAGGCGCCTTCCTCTCTTTTTCATGTTTACTGCATTAGAGCCTTGCTTCCACTCTAAGAAGAGCTGCCTCAGTGTTACTGCTTCCATCCATCCATCCCTGATATCCATCTGGCACCTTTATCTTACAGCTACAGAGGTTGGGCTCTAACAAGCGCGCCCTATATAATATACATTTTCAGACCACAATAAAAACCTGTCGTGCTCTAATCCCTCTCAACTTATCAAACCTAAAAAATAAAAAAACTTTTGCCTTCAGTTATACTTTAATGGACTGTAAAGCACTGAAGAGCATCTTTGTGAATGGAAAGAATTAAAAGTTGAACTCTCCCTTGGTGCCAGAATGGATGAACTTCCCTGCGCATGTGTAGGAGTCAAGACAGGCGAAGACCATGACCCCAGAAGAAACCAGAGGGAAAATGTCAGCACCGCTGAGGAAGCTGGAAGGTCTCGCATCACTGGAGAATACGTGTCTTGAAGGGTTAAGTTCTATGGTAACTTGCTTCTAAAGAACCTCTTTAAGAGTGTGTGCAGAGAAGCTGCTGGGACCCTCAACAGAGGTGCAGGCGATCCAAGTGGGGCTAACTGCCCCCCCCCCCCATTTTCATAAATGAAACCGACCGTACTGGTTGGTACCAGAACCAACTGAATCCCCCATTTTATTTAGAAATCTGCTGTAATTGTCATGCTGCATTAACATCACTAGCTCACAACATGTTTAACAATGATATACATCAGGCCTTAAAGTGATCTGAGACAATTTGAACTAATAATCCAAACACAAAAAAAGTATTCTTTAATAAACTAAATAAAAAAATGCATAATATATTGCATGAAGAACTGCTGGTATTTCTTGTCTTCTTAAGAAAATATATAATTGTGCGACTGTGACTACAATGCACCGCTTGAAAAGCATTGTTTCCTGTGCATAATAGGATCGAAGAACAAAATGAAGGCATAGTACTGAAAAAAAGCAATTAAAAAAAAACAAAACAAAAAAAAACCCTGAACATTTCATGGAATCACTAAAAAAAAAAAAAAATGCTGCGCAGTATGGACTTGATTGATTTGTTGTGAAAATCTACTGTAGGCATAGAAAAGTAGAACAGAAGGTGCAAGTTTGACTCTGCGTTTATATTTATAATATATATATTTATTTATATTGGTATGAAGTGCATGTAGTTTTATAGATGGCATGGAAAGATTATTACTGTAAAAACGTGGAGAAGACGGCCAAGGAAAGCAGAGAGATGAGATCGAAATGGAGCTAACTGAAATAGTGTGGTCATGTAGACAGACTTCTAAATTATCAGAGCTAGAAAATATAAATACACTGCTTTGGGGTGGAGAAGTGTCCGGAAGTTGAATAGACAGCAATCAGTTAGCTTGATCAAGGGCTCTTAATAATTCCTCGCCCTGCAGCAGATTTCTGTTTCCTTGTATGGGGGCATTCACTTCACAGTCATAGCTGGTTAGCTGAGGAAGCCCAGTGCCATCCAACGACTGTCCAAGCAATCGACTGGCCATGTCTGGAAGAACAATGCAAATAATAAGTGTTATTGATATAACAATTCAACTTTTAACAGTACAGTGCACCATAAAAGATATCATCTGCTAGAAGCTATAGCAGTACCAATCTCTACATTATGAGCTATAGTAGGAGTTAAAGAGGAAGGAAACCACCACAAGAAAAAAAAAACATTTTGGGCCTCCCGGGAGCTTTTTGTCATAATGTGCTAGTGAGCACAGCACTTTAGGGCAGACTTACCCAAGAAGCAATACCTCCAGAGCTGCGATTATTATTATTATACAGGATTTATATGGCACCAACAGTCTGCACAGCACTTTACAAAATGAAGGTAGACATTACAGTTACAATACAATTTGGTACAAGAGGAAACAGAGGTCCCTGCTCGTTAGAGCTTACAATCTAGGAGGAAGGGTTGAGTGATACAAAAGGTAATAACTGTGGGGGGATGAGCTGATGGCGGAAGTAAAAGGCTGTTTACTAGTTAGAAGTAGAATAGGCTTCTTTAAAGAGAGATTTTCAGGGATCGTCTAAAAGGTGGATTGATTAGGAGATAGCGAGACAGATTGGAGTAGGGAGTTTCATAGGATGGGAAGAGGTGACATGGGAACTAGAGAACAGAAGGTCTTGGGAGGATCACAGAGAGCAGTTTGGATGATATTTTGAGACCAGGTGAATGATGTAGCTGAAGGCAGAGTTGTGGATGGCTTTGTAAGTTGTTAGTATTTTGAATTTTATTCGTTGGGCGAGTGGAAGCCAGTGGAGGGATTGGCAGAGAGAGGTAGCAGACACTGAATGGTTGGTAAGGTGGATGACCCTGGCAGCAGTATTCATGATGGTCTGGAGGGGGTTAGCCTATGTAAAAGGTAAGCCAATGAGGAGTTGCAGTAGTCAAGGCGAGAGACAACCAGGGAGTGATTTAGGAGCTTTGTGGCATCATTGGTTAAAAAGGGGCGTATTCTGGAGATGTTGCAGAGGTTGGGGCAGCATGACTTGGACAGGGATTGGATGTGGGCCTGAATGGATCGTTCAGAATCCAGGGTTACCCCTAGCACTCTGGCATGCAGGGATGGGTTGATAGTGGTACTATTGATCCTGACTGAGAAATCAGGGGAAGAGGCACGTGGGGGAGGAAATATTATGAGATCCAGTCTGATATGTCGGTTTGTAAATCGGTGATACAAGAGGAAACTGATGGGGTGAGCTGAGGAGTAGAGAGATTGTGTGTGTCATCCACATGGTATTGGAAGCAATGTCAGCAGTAACCTTGGTCGCTGTTACATCCATCTTTTAGCTGTCTTTTTCTGGGTACATGAGTTACCTTGTCCTAGCACAGATCCATGCGGAGGCTGTACACTAAGCTGTGTATGCATGGCTCAGTGTACACTGAGGAAAAAAAGGTTCTTATGTGCTGAGAAGTTTTCATGACAGAAGAGACATTCAGGGGTGGATTTACTAAAGGCATATACACTGTGCACTTTGTAAGTGAAGTTGCTCCAGAGCTTAGCAAATGAGATGAAACTTCACTTTGCAAGGAATACCCAATCACAGGAAAATAACATAACAGCATTTTTGCATGCACATGATAAGATAATAGAAGTCAGCAGATCTTTCCCTGAATTACTAAGCTCAGTCGATTTGCTTTTAGTACATAAACCCCACAGAGTCTCCTCTGTCATTTAAAGCTTGTTTTTTAGGGGTTTTTTTTAATGACTTAATTTCTGTTTTATTAAGTCTGAAATTGAACAGATATGAAATGAAAGTACCTGTAGACAATAAGAGTATTGTTCTTTGTTCAGGTCCAGTTGGTTTATCAGAGTCTGACACTTTGACACATTTCCATAACAAAGGAGAGTTTGGACCTGGATCAACATTCGTTTGAAATATCGTTCCCTACAATAATAAAAGCAAAAAATTAAATAATTTTAAAAACTGTAAATGACTGTAAATTCATTTCAATTTCTCACTTAAGACCCCCCTATAATGAATACTGTATTTTGCCAACCTTATGCATTATTACCTGCAAAGGTAACATTTAATGTTTTTTTTCCCTTGCTTTCATTTTCCTATTTCTCTTTACAAGCAGACTGAGCATCCAGTAAAAGTGACAGTTGGAACGATTATACCAACAGGGGTGTTTACAATGGTGTGCTTTTATTTATATAGGAGGAAAAACACACTACCCTTGCAGTGAAGCCCATCACACTGCAAGGGGTAATGGTTTGTTCACACTTGATTAAATTTCTAACTATTAACCTCCCTGGCGGTATTCCCGAGTGTAGCTCGGGGTAAAGTTTCAGTACCAAAAACGGTAACCCCGAGCTACACTCGGGCTTACCATGCGGCGCTGCTCCGGCATCTGTTCTTCACTTACCTTGTCCTGCGCTCCCGCGATGTCCCTCCTGCAGTGTCCCCGGCAATGTAATCCGGCGGATGCCGGCATCTGTCATCTGGGTTCTGTCCCCTGCGAGCGTTGGGACGTACGGGGGATGGAACGGCGGGAAATTTGAAAGTGACAAAAAGTGACATTCACTAAATACACTAAAATCACATAATAAAACATTACTGTATCAAAGCATTTCACATACATTTTGTCCCGAGTGCTTTGTCCTGTGCCCTGCCTGCATTTTTACTGTTCTTTCTGCCTGGAAACTGAGAAACGTCCATGGCGTCCAAAAAGTGTCCCTTTTAGGTCAAAATCGGTTTTAGACCAACTAGAGAACAGCGATAGTAAATTAGAACCACTTGCAGAATTGAGTGATAGTGATTTGTGGGGAAATTCATCATCAGACACTGAAAACGATTTTGCGACTTTGCTCAGTGATGTGCGAACTTGGCGCTATATTTCAAATTTCAGTGTTTTTGGTTTGCTTATATTATTGAATTAAATTTATTATTATTTTTTATGATTATTTTATTAAATTATAATTTATGATTTCGGGTTTCAAATTTTAACATACCCGGGATGTATACTAGACTCTTGTTTGGACAGATTTCAGCGAGTTATTGCTAAAAATTACAGGTCTACACTGAAAAAAATACATATTTCCATGCAAAAAAATTTACCGTTTTGAGCACAGAAATATGGACATAATCAGACTGCTAGGGAAGTTAACAAACACTCCTATAGCATTAGTATAGGCGTTAGACAGGCATTGATGAGCTTTAGTAAGGGCGTTACACTGGCAATTTACATGTGTTGTAAACGCTCCCCAAACGCCCTATGCGGTTGTGCTGCATTTTATAAGCATTAAAACCACACCACAAACACCTATAATAAGCTGTAATGTTAAAAACTGTGCCCAACCACACTGCAAATGCTCCGAAAACGACTGCCAGAGCGTTTTTTGGAGCGTCACCATAGACTTGAATGGGAGACGTCGAAAGCCTTCAAACTCCTCCAGACTTGACAATTTTGAAGTGACGCCAACGCTTCATGTTTAAATATTGTGAACAGCATTGTTTGATGTTCACATTATCATGTGCATAAGCATTTGTGGAGCGTTAACGCCCCTCAAATGCCTTCTTTCAATGCCAGTGTGAACTAAACCGAAAGGTTCCTAAATTTTTGCGGATGAGGAATAAGATGTAATATTTACCTTATTCCTCACTCCAGTCCTTTGCTATGGGTTGTGGGCTGTCCCTTACTGTCCTTACGCATAATGCAGAGCACTGTATTTTTTTTTCTTTTGGTGGTATTTAATCACCACTCTTATTTATTGCTAAATACATGAAAAAAAAAAATATTGAAAAAAAAAAACTTAGATTGTTAAACAATTTTGCAAACAAATGATCTTTCTTCATAAATTTAGGCCAAAATGTATCTTGCTATTTTTTAAATATATTTTTATTGAGTTTAAAAAAAAAATAGACAACACAGGGGTAAAAAAAAGTCAATAGTAATCATGATATGCTGCATAAAGTGAGAATAAAATCTCCACAGGCATTACAGAATCAGATGGTCCAGAGTCTAAGACATAAGTCAAAAAACAACACTAGTATGTAGAGTTAGCAATCAGACAGTAAAACCATTGTCAGATATCGACAAAACATCCTAACATGCGGGGCCTATGATGAAAGTATACACACCAAGGGTGCAATGAAATAGTTCAGCAGTATATAAGATGGCCAAAAAAAAGACAGAAATCAAGGTAATGACTCTCCATATTCAGACTGGTCCAAGATTTCCCAAATTCTATTAAATTACGGAAGAGCATCATTAATAGTGGCGGTTAGGCATTCCATTCTCCGGATTTCAGCTACAAGGTATAAGAATTGGAGACAGGATGGTGGGTCAGTTGACAGCCAACATAACGGGGATGGCCCTCTTAGCAGCCAAAAGAATGTAGGAAATCAAACTTTTAATGGGTTTTGCAACACCAGAAAAAGGACAGGCCCAGTAAATAATGGACAGGATCCAGCGGGAGAGACATACATAACAAATTTAAAGTACCAACATCAAATCAGTCCAGAAAGGTTGTATTCAGGAACATTGCCAAAAATATGGTAATGGTCACCCAGGACACTGTACTTGACACCATCATGAAACTGAAGTTCCTTTCAAGGAATAAAGTATTACATTCTTCTGACCCTAGAGTTAAGTTAAATTTAACCCCTGCAGTGCAGGGTGGGAAATTGGTGATGGGGAGAGTGGGCACTGCAAGGGCAGTTTTTTTGTGATTCCCAGAGTTGAGCTTTATTTGCTCTTTAATAAAGTCTGCGTGAAAAAACTGCATGTCCATTTTGGACTACCTTGTTCACAGGATGACAATGCAGCAGGATAAACAGGAAGTAAAAAGTCAACAGATCTACTAAATCTAGGTTAAAAGGAAGGACTCAAAAAAATCAAATACTGTTGTGTACATGTTATTAAAAGACTGCATCATATATGTCATGTCATCTTTTTTATTTTGCCCATGGTTCTACTTTAACTGATGTCTCGTATGCTAAAAATATTTGTACCCTCTGTGGCCTTTTTCGCACTAAAAAAGTGCTCACATGCATGCACACCCAGCAGACCAAGAACATCCACAGTACATATCTGCATAATGCTCTAAGACTTTTTTTCTCTGAATAGGAGGATATTAAATAGTCTCTTCTCACCTAGCGCAGGTAAAGCTAGGCAGCTGCAATGCCTAGGAAGCTAGAGGCTACTTAGCCATGGATGCTGCAGTATCCTGCTCCATATTAAGTCAAGCCAACTTACAGGCAAATATACAATAAATAAATTAAATGGCAACAAAGATCACGGCCATTATTTATAAATAGGGCTCACATTTTAAAATGTAACCACAACTTATTCCAATCCCTTCATTTAGCAGCAAGCAGGAGCATCCTCATCTTTCAAGTACGATCTTTGGAAGACAGCCGCTTAACATCGTAGACAACAGTTCCCAAATTTCACCAGTAGATGATGTTGTGATAGAATCTAAAACTTTCTCCCAATAACACAAAAGAATCTGAGGCTGACTGCTCCTTGCTACTAACAGAGAGGGACCAAAAACAGGCAAAGGATTCTTGGTTAAACGAAAAATCTTTTGTATAGTGTATGTAAAGAGACTCATTTTATTTTACACTTACTAGTCCCACTGCTTGAAACAAAGGGCCATCGCTTTCAATTTTGCGTTTTCTCTGGACATTATGTAAAGCGATCATCTTTGGGCTCAATTCATCGTCCAGGACTGCAGATCTGCAAAACGTGCAAAAACAGCCTCAAATGTAATAATACCGAAATCTAAAGCATATCCAAACTTTTTTTTTCTGTTTTATATGTATGAAAGGATCAGAACCCATGCCAAGTTTTGAATGCTGTGTCCATGCTAAGGAGATATACTGTGTCTTTATTATCATTGTCCCCCGGATTAAAGTGAGAGAAATTTCAAAATTTGAGTCACCAAAACAGGTGAAATATTTCAATTGGCCAACCTGTTCTGATGACATTTGAGTTTTCCTCACTTCCTGTTTTGTCTACTGGACAGGAAGTGAACTGCTGCATGCATACACACAAAAAAAAAAAATATATGTTTTGCCTTTGGATATACTTTAATTTAGCAACAACTGTGACAATCCATCCTTTAGGCAATTGGAAGGAAAATTGGGGTCACCTGCAGTGACTGAGGAAAGTATTAAATTGAAGCTGATGAAATTCATACAATTATTTGTAGCAAATGATGAGCCATTCAACAAACAGTGTAGTTTACTCCACACGTGATCAAACGTTCTATGCTCACCGACAGAACACATTGGAATTTCATTCGTACATGTTATATTTTTTTTTTCTTAAAGCCTGTGATTAAAGGATGTACCTTTTATTTAGTGAACTTGTTATATTGGGAGTTCCAGGGCGGGATCTGTCCTTTTCAGCTGCTTTGTCTGTTCTCACAGGAGAACTTGTGCGACTTCGGTTTCCATTATATGGAGAAGCAGGGGTGCTTAGCACCTCTTTAATGGCTGGTGTAGGTGGGTGCACAATGATGGTTTTTGGATCGCTCATGGCTTCTGTGGTGATTGGTTTCAGATCGGTGGTGGGTGAAGCAGTAGAGGGCTGAAAGAGACTGGTCATGCTTCCCAGGGACTGCGGATGACTGGAATCAGTCTCCAGGGAAGAAAGCTGATCAAAGCTTCTTAGCTGGAAGTCATCGTCCATTGGGATATATGGAGCCAACATTTCCAGGTCCAAGTCTGTTTCCTGAATTCAGATAAAATAATTTAACAACAGACTGCACAATGAGCAACTGGTTAGCACTGTACCAAACACACATGAAATTTACCTGTGTAGAGAATGGAGTCTTTGTTTCTGTGTCAATGGCAAAAAGTTTCTCTACCAAGTCCATCTTAAACTCCCGGGAAATGTCCATATCTTCATCAAAACGATATTCTGCAGGAGTGCCAGGCTGCAAAGGGAAGGCATTGGGAAAGAATATCGGTATTCTGGATAAAATTTAGCAGATTTCTAAATGTATACTGCCTTTCACAGTCTGGTACAGATTTTCCAACCTATAAGGACCAAGCATTCAAAAATGCTATTTTGATAGCAATCACATCCTAAGAATATGAATGACGTGCATAACACAGGAAGGTTGTCTGTGCCGAGTCTAAAATGTGGATACATAAGACACAAGACTGAGCTACAAGAGTGGTGGGTACTAACGCACTAAAAAAAGCTTCAGAGTTAAAAGGTATAGTTCACCTTATGATTAAAAAGGCCCATGCAGACTAAGGACCCCAGTATATTACAATTCACTGTGCCTTTTTGCAAAATACCATGTAAAAATGATTAGCACACCTGTAGGCCTCTGCTGGCACCCCTGAAGCCTGCCCGATATACTCCCATTTTGCTTACCTAGCACACAGCATTCTGGTGTCAGCTCTTGTCCTATCCCAGCAATGCTGAGCTGCTGGAGACTGCACACGGTGCATGTGTCAAGCTCTGCTATGTCCCAGGAAGGTATTCGGAAGAAGTGCATGCAAACGATATGTGAGTATAATGGGCAGGCTTCTGGGGTGCCAGCAAAGACCTATGGGTGTGCGAACCACATTACACTAAGGTCAAGTGCATTGTAATATACTGGGGCCCCTTGTCTACATGGGCCAATTTAATAAGGTGGTCTGTGCTTTTAAACTGGTTGTAAAGGCTGAATGTTTTTCATATTCATGCATTCTATGCATGGAGGCAAAAAATCTTTTTGTGTGTAGTTCCCCCCACATCCTCCCTAATACTCATCTGAGCCCTCCCTCTCAATCCAGCAATGTTCACTAGAGCCTCGGCTCTCTCTCTCATTGGCTGCCAATCACAGTCAGTGAGCCAATGAGGAAAGAGCAGGGGCAGGGCTGTGCTGTGGCTCTGTGTGTCTTATAGACGCATAGAACGGGGCTCGGGAGTGAGCATGCACCAGTGTCCCCATAGCAAGTGGTTTGCTATTGGGGGCACTGGTCAAGGGGGAGCCAGGAGTGGTGGCGGGGGAGCCGAGAAGAAAAGGATGGGAGAAAGCTCTGTGCAATTCCATTGCACAGAGCAGGCAATTATGACGTTTCTATTTAAAACAAAACAAAAAAAACCAAAGCTTTAATATCACCTTAATTCTATAGGCCACGGCATACGCAAAATATCTTCACTCCTTATACCAAGTATCCTAAAATATTCTCACCTCTGTGGAACTCTGGTCGCTGCTGATTTCTGATGGACTAGATGGCTTGGAGAGCTGTGGAATGGTAAAAGCCAGCTCCAGCTGTTCTGCGCTAGACTCCATCTTGATCACCACCTCTCTGTTCAGCGCAGGGTCGGCATTGCTACGCAGAGGCTTGGGCTTTTCTGGCGCTGGAAGCGGAGACACCAGGATGTTTTCAGGAGGCTTACTTGTTGAGTGTAGCATAACGTCATTATACAATGGGGCATCGTTATACTGGGGCTCCGAATCTACTGTAAAAAAGATGATCACACAGATTATATCCTGCTCAGGAGATGGGAATAATCCAGACAAATTCCAAATAAGCCACCCACCACTAGAACTGAAGTCCAAGGCAATGATCTCATCTCCAGCATCAGGTGCAAGAACAGTAAGTGACTCAGGCTCCTTTTTCAGTTTATCAAACAGGCTTTCTGTGTCTTCCTCCTCATCCAGTTTAGTGAAGATCGGTGGCATCTTCACCTCAGCAGACTCCACAGACTCCAGCGTGGACTCTGTCTGGCCAAGGGACAAGATCAGCTCTTTCTCCACAATGTCACTAAAAAAAAATTAAAAGTAATTCAAATCACCAAGTCAATTGTAAAAAAAACAAAACAAAAAAGCAAGCAATGTTTGTCACTACACAAAACATATACTTTGATGAGTGGAGATTGCATTTGCTACTAGGGACTTGGGGCAAACGACTCAGACATGCAGATTCTGCATCCACAATAGCAGAAAATAGCAGGGGATGTGTTTGAAAATTTGCATTATTCTGTCTGTAGACAGCGCTGCCAAAGAAAAAACACACAAAGCAAGCAGCATTCTTCCCGCCAAGAAGCATGCAATGATTGATCTCAAAGAGGATTTCTGTAGTGCGATTTGTATATGAAAAAGATGCCAAACCTACCATCCCTGTCTAAGGGTTTCCCGCTTCCACTGTGCTGTAGGAAGAGAGACTCCTTTGTAATGGCCACATTACAATAACATCCTGCCTAATCCACCTAGACATGGTGGAAAGATGTAGGACAGACCTTGTAAGAACCCGCAGGCAAGACATACAGAAAATCCGAGCTTCGGATCAAAGCAGTGGCCGAGATATAAACTTGTACTACATATACTACATTTAAATATTAGGAGATTTTTTTGGTGTGTTCTGAAGCAGGACAGATGTCCTGATTAAGGGGGAAGGAGGAAACCGCCTTGGGGAAAAAGGAGGCCCTTGTCCCCAAAACAACTTTGTCTTTATGAAAAACAAGGAAGGATTCCTGGCAGGAAAAGGCTGCCAAGTTCTGAGACCCACCTTGAAGATTTGATAGCCCTGAGGAAGGGGGGGAGAAAAAAAAAAAAAAAAAAAAAAGCAAGCACCTTAGGAGTGAGGTTGGCCAAAGAATTGCTTCTGTAGCGTCAACAGTAGGACTGGCTAGTCTAAAGGTGCCCATGAAGTGTCCTGTAGGATTTGGAGAATGCCCAAGTACCAAGTCCTTCTGGGTCAATCTGGTGCCACCATTATCTTCAGAATGCCCAATTCCATCCAGAACTTTTGGACTTGCAAGAAAGTGTACTTTTAGGTGGTGACGTGTTCTATGCTTATGGCCACGAAAAACACTTTACTATCACACATGCTAGGCCATGACTGCAACCAATTTTTTTTCCAAAATCTTGCGACCCCCAAGTGGGGGAACCCTTCAGGAGAAGATGTAAAGCCCCAGACTCATCACACCAGGGTACAGGCGAGTCCCCACCGGATAGGAACTCACCACTTCACCCACTTTAGGAAGGCACACTCTCTCCTCCATGGAGAGGGTCTTCAGGGACTGAACTACCAGTATTCAGATCATGACTTCCCTGGACATGTAAAGTCACTAACTGCACCTCTTTGCACTGCTGCACCAAGAGCGAGCACCAAATGCAGAATCCAGTGACAAAGCAATGTTACAGGCCAGGCCATATGATGGGGTGTATGGTTCTCAGAGATGCTGCTGAGGGACAAGCAATCTGGGAGCTGCAATTATACTAGCACAATGATGCAGCCAGGGAAAAATGGATTTCTCCAAAAGAACCACCAAGAACAAAGAAAAACCATAATTACAAGCTTGAACCTGCTCTAAAACACACGTAGGTTGTCCATTACCAAAGCACACTCGGAAAAAAAAAAAAATGTAGGAATGCTGGGAGTGGAAGGAATTTTATAGGCTGTCCTAACAAGTTTGCCAGTGTCCTAACCTGAAAGTGGCAGCAATAATCCATGGTCAAGACTTAAAGACCAACCTGATGTTTCCATGTTTCACTTTAAATAGTTAGTAAAGGAAAGAGTTGACCCAAACTAACTGAGGCGGCCGCTTTCAGAGCTGTATAAACTTTATGAAGCCTTTGCTACATACAGTATACAGCGCTATATTCTAGTAGCAATACAGGAACTTCCCGTCTACTGTCGGAAGAAAATGGAGTCAAGCTGTGTGCTTCTCAGCCATTCACAGAAAGTCTCTTTTTCAATACAAGACTCTCTGATTGGCTGATATGAAGAGTGGGTGAATCATGTCACAATCTTAGCCTCAGCCAATCAAAGGAAGCCTTGTATTCACTGATAAAGATACAAGGCATCCTGTCAATGGCTGAGAAGCACCCAGCCCGCTTCAGGTTTATTCCAGCAGCATACAGGAAGTCCCCATACCACTGCCACAATACAGCGCTGTATACTGTATGTTGCTGATTTATACAGTTTATACAGCGGTCACAGTGGCCACGTCTATTAGTAAAGAAAATAGTTAGTTTGGGCCAGCTTGATGAAAGTGTACAGGCACGATTAAAAATTTAGTTTACCTTAAGTTTATTGTCAATGTGCCTGTTTGGATCGCTGATAGTTTGCGGGAAGGTTTACCATTTTATACATAACTGAATCCTTTAGAACATATCAAAGTGCATCCAATATGAATACACTGGATATAAAAACTTTGCTTTACAGTGTCACAGACAGCAGAGAGAGACCCTGCAGGTGCACAGCAGGCACTCTTCTGTACAAAGATAGTACCTGTGCTCTAATGCACAATGCCCCGATTGCCTTTGCAAGCTCTGTGAGAAAACCACATTTTCAGGTATCAGGTATTTGGACACCTGGTCCCCCAGGCCCAGGCACTATCACATGTAGTGTGAAGGAAGCCTGTCTATATGCACATATCAACTATTCAGATAAGCTGAAATCTGCATAACAATTTTAGAGCTAGAGAGCATGTGCCTACCAAGCACCAATGGGATTACTTTGCTTTTGGCGACCCTTGCTAAAGGTGAACTTTAAAGCCCAATTCTAAGATCTTGGGTGCTGGGACGAGAGATGAGTCTGTGGAGGACAGTGCTAGAGAGGAGTAATGCAGCAAAAGCGAATTTAACGAACCACACACACTTAATTTTATTTCTTGAAAAAAAAAAAAAAAAGTTCTGCTTTAATCATCCTGCTGCATTCACCACAATGCAATCCAAAGAATCCCAGCGAGAACCTAGAAACTGGTGAACCATCCAACTTGTTAGTGTCCTAAAACAAATATCAGTTTTGGGAAGGCTGCTCTACAACACACCATATCGGCTTCCATAAAGATAATATGGGCTAATAGACACTTACCTGAGGACATAGTTCACGCACACGATACACTGGGGCTGAGAGTTCTTTGTGTTATATATAACTGTTGCTTGTGTCTCCACCCACACATAGCCACCTTTCTTGGCCAGCATTCTGTACTGTCCTGTTGTCACCTGCCCTTTTGTGAACACTAATGAAAAAAAAATTAAAAAATGGGTAACTTTAATGAACAAGTCTCTTGTGCAATGTTCATTTAAAACAAATTCAGTCTACTATTAGCATGTCAGTTACAGTTAACTAAACTCTTCAATATCACTTGTGAATCCACCATTGTTCATTCAAGTGCACCTAGCCAGAACAAGCACATCAAACAGATCAGTGGTTTTCAGTGCTGATATATTGGTGGAGTTTTCGGTTCAGCAGAACATCTGGTACCTTTTTTTGTACTGATTGTTTCAGAGCCAGCTATTAAAGTAAGCTGCTGAAGGGGTTAAGAAAGCACGCGGGTTTAGTTTATGGTTAGGCTTTTATAGGGTAAGAGGTTACAGATTCAGCAGAACTAAAAAAGGTAAAATGAGTCAGCGCTGGCACCTTGTCACTAACTTCTTCCTGGTGCCGGTCTTCAACCATCTTGATTGGCCAGCACAGGATGATGTCACTTCCGTCCATGCGCAGGAGTGCAGACATTCTGGCACACATGCCGGAATGTATTCGGAGCTGTGCATGAGCAGCTTAGTGTACATTCACAGGCAGGTAAGTGTATTTCATGGTAGAAGAGACTTTGCAGGTCTTTCCTGTAATAAATACCCTACATGCTAGCATTTTTTTTTTATTTTGTAACTTAGTTCCATTTTAAACAGAAACTCCACTTTCGTTTACAAAAAAAACATTCCCCTCTGGGTGATCTATGTTCGTTGCAGGAATTTTAACAAACTTTGTTGCAGATTCCCACCTTTTGTTAATCTGAAGAAATAGCTATTTGCCTGTGTCCATGTGCAGAGTAAACCTGTATGGGAGTGATTTTAGAATTATCAGCTGCTGCACCTGCAGGGCTCTAATGAGGAAAATGGCAGGGTCTGCATCCTCTTAGACATGATTTCCCTTTGGGAGCATTTCACCAAAAATGACATTTTGTTACAGGAAATGCCAAAAATCTGACTTGTATCCTAGTGCAGACTTCTAGGAAAATCAGTAAGCCAATCACACAAGCAGGAAATTGGATTTTTTTTTTCATACTTACCTGTAAAATCCATTTCTTGGAGAACACCATGGGACACAGATCAGGCTATTCATGAATGACTGTGGGTTAGATGCCCCCTATAGGTGAATGGATAATGCCAGATCACTCAAACAAGAAGTCCTCCCCTATATAACCCCTCCTACAAGTACATCGGTTTTTGTAGCAAGACATTAAATTACAGTAAGACGGGAGTGATCTCTGTGTCCTGTGATGTACTCCAAGAAATGGATAGAACAGGTAAGTATGCAGAAGCTACTCATGACTATGTGGGATCTCCTAGATTGTAAGCTCGAAAGAGTAGGGCCCTCTTACCCCTCGTACATTGTTTGTTATTGTTGTACTGTGCCATGTATTGATGAGTCTGAAAAATTGGCACATGAAGATATGTTATTGAGGACTATGGACACCCGAAATCTCTCTTTTGCAGAGGCCACCACTGATTGGCACAATCCCATCCAAAAAAACAAAGACACCTACACTTATGTCTAGTGCCTTGGGATCCAAGAAAGACCTCACGTCCCAGTTTGGTTTTGGGCCTGCAAACCTGTTGAGTGTACTACAATGAGCCCATAACTTCTGCTCCAAGGCAAAAGCCTGATAACTCTGTGATGACCCAAAAGGTCCCAAAGAGGCATACTTAACCTATTAGGTTTCTGCTGCTAAAGATGGAGCAAATCACCTCAAAGACTACCCTAGCACCCTCTGCCCAAGATAATTCTCAAAACACAGCAGGGGAAATATTTACAGCACCTGGTATTCCCAGCCAGTCTCCCCTCCAAGTGCCAACCAGATCTGACCCTGCTTAGCTTCAGAGTTCAGATGAGATCAGGCGCATTCAGGGTGATGCGGCCATAAATCCATTGCAACTCCACCACCAGGAATAGCTGCAATGCCAGACAAACGCAGTGGCCCAGAAACACCGGACACCACTGGTCTATCATTAAATGCAAACACCGTCAGATTACCATGGCAATCTGCCAGTGTCCATTCACCTATAGTTGGCATATAACCCACATAGCCATGAATAGCCTGCTCTGTGTCCCATGATGTACAATAAAGAAATTACATTTCAGGGGGAATTCTGTAGAACATCTTCAGTTCAGAACACCTCCAGGTAGACATACTGCATTGCATTTTACAGAAAATTATAGTGCTGCAGATTGAAAAGGAAAAGTAATTTTTAACATTCAATCACAATATGACTTGAGTCACAATTGTGCATGCTGTATATATTTATTTTTTTTTGCTAATTTTTTTCCAACGAAAGTGGAGTTACCCTTAAAGTTTTAAGGTTAGCGCAGGAGTTTAAAAACAGAAATAAACCCATCAATTTACCGGTTTCAAAAACAATTCAAGACATGCCATGAATGATAACATTTGCTTGTGCCCTCAACCAAACCGCCAAGCACTCAAATGACTGGTGTCATAACTGACTACATGTACAGCACCTTGGCAACTTCAGATCAAACACAGGCTAACATGTCAGCATCCTTGGCTGTAAACTACAGGAGGGTTTAGTTCCGCTTTAAGTGTAACGTTCACAAGGGGGCATTAGGAGTTTGTTACAAAGATCTGGGGAGTAGAAGGTTCACTGCCAGGACTTGTACTACAGTAATCCCTGGTTCACACTGATGTTAACTGTCATGCGATTTGACCGTTCAAATCATACGACAAATCGCATTCAATGATCAGCAATGGATCAGTTTTAATTTTTGCAACTTCCGACTTTGTCGGAATCGCACTGATTTGAGAATGTAGTTCCTACACACTACTTTTGATTATTTGCACAGGTAAGGTTAAGCAAACAGGGACCATGCCGACAATATAAGCGGAGCTGCCCATGTGCAGCTATATTTACATTCCAAAAAAG